GAACAGCATATGCAGCTTCGCAGACAATGGATGATGCAGCTGCTTGGAATTGCTTGGCAGAGTCAGCAGCTGCCCTGATTGCAGGGAAGATAGAGGACGACAAGGCAGTGCCAGGAGCGTGCTTTTCGGTACCGAAGCTCTGGCATGGACGAGCTCAGCACATGTTTGGATCACGGCGATGGGACGCAAGATCCAGACACAGATACAGCATACAGGCACAGAGAGAAAAGACGAGGGCAGGGCAGGCGGAGCAGACGTGATAGATTCTGATACCAGGCCTCACCCCGTGCACGATCAGCAGCTTGACGCGTGTGGAGGCCGCCGAAGTACAAGTGGCAGGAGGACGCTGGCTACGCCATCCAGTCTTTGCTGGCTGCCCTGATCAGCGAGTAACCGAAGCCCGCTGAACACCACAACTTGTTTGCTCTCGACCCAGGGGTGGGAGGGAGAGAGTTAGAGATAGAGAGAGCAGAAGAAGAGAGACAGAGGCTACCCAAGTGATGCACTGAATCGCACCACATACACGAGGGGTCGGAGTCGGGAAGCAGCAATCTGGTGTACAACCCCATAAGGTGCCACGGGGGGGCAGCTTATGTAATGTGGTGGGGAGATGTTTCGAAGACCACACACAGATCCTGGAGGGCTAAGCAGTGCAGAAGAAGTTCCCTGGGGAGCCTCGTCGATGGGTAGAAGAAGAAGAAGAAGCAGCAGAAGAAGAAGAAGCAGAAGCAGAAGGCGAAGAAGAAGAAGAAGAAGAAGAAGAAGAAGAAGAAAATGAGAGAGAGAGAGAGCAACAAACAAAAGATGAAGAAAAGCATGACATGCTTCCGAATCCATATGTAGCAATGTAACAATTCGCGGCAGCATGTGGCGGCTTTGCAGCCGGTCGGTGCTGAAGCCGGCTTGTGTGCACGGCCGTACGACTCTAGTGCCTGGCAACGGGAGAGCTGCAGGGCAGATTTGGCAGAGGCCAAAGGGCCAATCATGGCCAATCCTTCCGCGTGGCCAGGGAAAAAAAGTGCCTCATGCGTCCGCTTCGACGGTGTTGCAGAAGATCCTCGAAAATGTCAAAAAGTGCGTCGGCCCCCTGAGCCTCAAGAAGCCCTCCGTCTGGCCAGGCTGGGCATCTCTCATCGCAAGGTCTTGTTAGGTCTTGTTTGTTTTTGCCTGTGAAGGTGCCAGGATGCTTCAACGCAGGTTCCGAAGTTGTTGGAAAGAAGTGAATGCAGACACGCTACCGACCTAGGAAGAAGCGAAACTCCCAATTTCATAGCCTGACAGCGAAAACTGCACTGTAGACGGCATGCCGTTTTCTGAGCTCCCTTCACGAGAAAGACAAGGCAACATGCAGCTCACAGAAATGCGATATACAAAAGCAGCAACACTGACTGGGCGGGTTGAGCATGACAACTTCCATGCCATCCGTCATTGTTCCGGGGTCGACGGCTTAGGCCATGCAGAAAGACCAGGATTCCATTGGCCCCTGTGTAGCCGGGCAGCGGGCTGTGCATCATGCAGCATGAGGTAATGCTGCTGTCCTCGCCGAAGAAGCTTCGAGGCGAGTTTGCACTTGTACACTGCGTGAGCACTGTCGAACTCTCACTTCGAACACCAGCTGATTGCTAGGCCTTGTATGCATTTTGTGGTGTGGCACGTTAACCGTGGCTTTGAGTTGACCAGGACTTGCCAGGGGCTGCCTGATTCGCCATGTCGCTGAGGACCCGCACCTCAGGTATTCACACGTCCGCACATTTGCTCAGTAGCTTCCTTCCTTGCCCGTTGAGATTTACTCCCTCAGTCCTTCCAGTCGTGTGACCCCCTCCCCTCCCCCATGATCTTTCCTCAATCAGGTGGCCGGCACAACAGATCCGCGAGCTGCGGCCGTCAGCTGAAATACACTTGACAACGTTGAAAGTTGAAAGTATATGCTTTTAGGGCCACCTGAGGATGCAGCGTGCTAGTTAGGTCGTGAAGATTTTCAACACTCGACAACGCCCCGGCTGGACTGTTCCCTGGCAGGAGCTGCGTTGAACTGCTAAGCAGGGAATATTGATTTTACATCTTAGTCGTCATAGTCATAGATGCGGCATGTCAGCCTGCATCTATGACACGGCCAAGTTGCTGCCACAACCCAAAGGCGTCTTTGATAGTCTTGGTGCGCGTCGGATCATTCGGTCGGTGCTTGCCGCGAGCCAGGATCAGCCAGTCGAAAGCACAACAGGCAAGCATAACCTAAGCTGAAAAGCTGCAATGTGTTTGTTGATCTTTCTCTTTACTTGACAGCTTGATGGCGAGCGCGGTGAGGCTCAGGCGCAGTGATCTGCACAAGTGTGCGGCTGAGAGATGAGAGCACTCAAAGTTGATTCGACACAGGTTGGAATGTTTCTCGAAGCAGGCATTAGTGGCAAAGTCCCACGTCACGCAGCCAGAGGCCCAGATGGCAATGCTCACTTTCGATTGTTGCCAGATCTCCCAGCAGAGGGGCGAGTCGAAGAGTCGTGAAATAAAGTTTAGTGTAGAACACTCACGTCCCAAAAGATGAGCTGCAGACATGAGGGATTTCGAAAGTCGCCATTTGCGTGTTTGATTGCCTCGTTCAAATCGAGTCCTCCAAACGGAAGGCTGCATGGGAGATAGCCATGCGGATACGGAGCAACGACACCTTTGCCATCGTCACTTCCGAACTCATGTGCAGGGATATCCTCGCACGGTCGTCCCCATCAAGCCAACGCTCGACGAAGGGGTAAAGGAGGCAAAGACCGAGAGGACGAAACCAGTACGAAACCAGAACCGTTCATGCAGAACACGGACTTCGTGGTCCATGAGCAACCGATGGCAGAGTTCGTCCTGGCCGAATGCGACCTGGCAATCCACGCAATGGGGAGGGCTTTGAGTGGCAGCTGGCACCACAGCCGTACGCTCCCTCCCATCCCATTGCCCGACCTAGCCGATGCCACATGCACAGGTCAATTGCCTTGTAAGTTACCAACAGATACGCAGGGAAATGAGAACAACTGTGCAACATACATATATAACATGTATATGTTTTTTAATATGTCTAGTTAGTACGCATGTAATATTCAGGGATTACGTAGTCAATGTCTAACCAAAATCTGCCAACTGTTCAAACAAGTTACTATTCAAAGGTAACATCTAGCACGTAATAACTTTCATATAACAGCGACCTATTGTCGAACTACTGCTTAAGTAAAGTTTCTTGAATATGTCATTACCAGATAGGTTCGAGATGGTAAATAAAGCCCGCCGCATTCGACGCGTCTGGGCCGCAGGCTTCGGATCTCTCGGATATCGGGCTTGAAGACTCTAGTAGCTTTTGTGGACTTCGTTCATTTTCCGTTCAAAGGAAAGGAGCTCTTCACTGCATACCAACAAGTAGAGGAGCTCGAAATCCGAAGTTTCATATTGAATGCTAAACGAGTCAGAGAGCTGCCTTCAATCTGTTGAGGACTAGAAAGGATTTGCCATGCTCCTTCTGTTTCCATTGAGAAGTAGATCGCGGCCCGGAATTCTTGCATCCCTCGTTAAGAGCTACAGGAGCTCTTGTAATTCCTGCATCCCTCAGCAGACGGAAATGTTCTTTGGTTTTTCTAATCATTTCTTATCCGTACATGCAACAGCTTGCTCCATTCCTGTTAGGAGGGAAAGAGCTCCTCTTATATATATATATATATATATAACCTTATTTCTTAAAGCTAGAAGAGCTCCTTCATGCGCTCTCATTCATTACGGAGCGGCCTGTGCTCTTTTTTGAGGATTACAATCGACACATCACATAAAACAAGCGTCAGAATGTCGGAGTAGGGACTCTTGCGAGCGACAACTGCGCGAAAGCTGGTTCCGACACCTAAAAAGAACCATAATGGCATGTAAAACAAGCCACGAAAGCTCGCGTAGCGAGGCTTTCGTTTCTACTTGTGTTAGCCGTTAGCAATCCCTCTCCCCTGCGTTGTATGTTGCTCGATACTAGATGGTTTCTTGAAGCCGTCGATTGGATCCTTACATTGGAGCCCGTCTCGCCAGCTCCATTTCCCTTGAGTCCTGCCAGAGAGGCCACTATTTGCACAGGTCCGCCCGTCAAATTTCAAGGATAGTGCGGAGGAAGGCAACGTCAAACATGGCTAGGATTGGCTAGGTGCACGAAGTAAAAGACCACAACGTAGAGTCTCCTACTCGTACAAGTCGGCCCCTCAGATTAGTCGTATGATGAGGAGGGGGGGGGGGGACAAGCTACTTAAAGTGACTTAAAGCTACGTGCATTAGCCAAATGGCCAAGATTTTTTGCATTGGCGGAGCGGAGACAGAATATGGTAAAGCCACGGATAAATGCATGTTATCTGCTCTCAGTATTCCCAGATGTCGACGCTACCTCGATGTTGAGTCTGTTGTCTTGGGGGAGAAAATGCTCTTGATGCTTTATTGTATGTACAGGTACTTGGTATTTTTGCCGGATTTCCTGGAGAGGTTGATCTTGGGGGGAGCGGGGGGTTACATCCGCCCTGTTTATTTTAGTTTGTTCTTGTGGGGTCATGGTTCAGGGAAGGGGGTTGGGGATTTCTGGGGCTGCGGGGGCTGGGGCAAAACATGTGGCAAGAAACAAACTCGGTAGTTTTTGCGCTTCCTGTAGGGGGGGGGGGGGGGGGGCGGGGTGGGGGGCGGGGTGGGGGGGTGAAAGGAGACAAGACTCGTTTCTTGAAAGGAAAGAAAAGAAACTGCTGTGGGTAGTGAGAGGGGGGGGGTTTATCTTGCAATGACCTTTACAAGGAAGGGTCCAGCTTCTTGACACCAAATCTAGGATTGTTCACCGTTGGCAATGAGTTACAACAGCAGGCAGGCAACCTTCCGACATCTTAAGCAGTGTAATGGAGGCGGAGGAGGAGGAGGCGGTGTGGGGGCTAGGCCGAGCCCAGGCGGCCTGCCCAAAGACACTGCGCACTAGGTTTACCTGTAGGCCTCCCGCTAGACCAGACCGCAGAGTATCTATGCCATCGATTCCACAGCCGACGGCAGAGCTTGATTCCGGCAGGAAGAATTTGCCACTGCAGTTCACCCAGACAACTGCTGCTCAGGTGCTGACAGCTGCGCACGTGGTCGCCGACAGCAAATACTTGCAGGCTTCATTGCTTTGCTACTCTTAGCTATATGTTGCTACTGCTGATGTGCGTCCTTTCGACCTTGATGTTACAGCGTCCAAGCTGGTAGGCACTGGTCGTTGCAGGTGAGAAACACCTCATGTGCAGGTGCAGCGAACAAACGATCGCTACAGCGGCGAAAAGTTCCGCGGTGGCCTTTGTTGTTGTTGGGACTGGGCGTTTGTATGTTTCAAAAATTCTGGCACTGAGGTGCTCATGTTGCGGCTGTCTGTCACGAGATCGACCTGGCGTTGCATTTCTTGCAAGATTTTGCGGATGAGAGTCGAGCTGAGTATAGGAGTGAGCTGCGGAACCTCTGACACTGTACACAATACGCAGTCAGTACTCACTTGTCAAGAGGTTAGAAAGGAGCGCCAGGAGCGCTGCTCCACTACTGCTCCAAGTACCGCTTCTCCGAAGGGCCTACTGCGTCAACAACTCCAGGGCTCCGAATGATGATGTACAGTGGCCCCTGAGAACTCCGAGAAGGTGAGTAGCTGGTGGCACAAATCATGCAAAACCTGAAGGGTCGAGACAGTGAATGTGTTTGTGTTCGTGTGTGTGTGTGTGTGTGGGTGTCAAACTCAGATTGGCCCTTTCTGAACTGCATGTCGACAGCGTGGTGGAGCCAAAAATGTATACCACTAAGTCTCAACGTGACAGGTTGACATTGGAAGAAGAAGCGATCTTACAGGACAGCTGCATGCATGTTGGAGTATCGCACTCGCAATGCTGATGTTGCGTAGCAGATGCTACAGGCATAGAGGCAGGACATAGGCCCCCGCTCTACGACCAGATAAAGGGTGAGAGCCTTCTGGGGAAAATGGTGCAGAACCAGTGGGGGGCATTGCAAGCGCCAATTTCAATTTTCATCTCCTCCTCCCGCCCTCCTTTTTCTTCAATACACGGCATGTGCTTGCTCTCACCACGTGCGAGCATGTTCCAAGAGAGTAATCTCCATATGCTCTCCACCGACCATGCCCGTTGCATGAAGTTGAATGCTGCCGATCGTTGCAGATTGAGGTTCTGGAGCGGCGCGGCCCCTCTTCAGCGCGCCGAGATCGTAGCAGCATAGTTGCGCTGCGAGCCATGCTCCAACAGATGGCGCACTTGGCGCTAACAGCACATTGCTCTTCAACCATGGTGGGCAAGTCCCACAACCCGTCCTCGATCCTCGTACCATGCGCTTATTCAAATCCTGAGCCAAAGAAGCCACTGCATCACTCCGCAGTAGCGGCCATAGCTGCCGTGACCTCGAGCACATTGGTGGTGGGCACAACACGGCGGCGCAATCCAACAGCTTGCCGACTGCATGCGGCAGCAAAAGGCCGAGCCCGAGCCAAGCGAGCTCCAACAATTCCAACACAATCGCGCAGACAAAAGGCTGACCCAAAACTTGTGAAAGAACGAAAGCAGCTTGTCAAAGAAATTGTGCAAGAAGTGCCTGACGGTCAAGGGTGGTTGATGGACACGGCTTTGAATCTGCAAGTGGAGGATGCTGTATCTGAACTGGAGGAGCTGAATACTGTGACTTTCGCAGCAGATTCCGGTGATCTCGAAGGTGAGTGGAAAGTCATCTTCAGTGCTGACAGTGGCCTGAACGCGGGCACATTCGGCCTCCTGAACGGGGAGGCACGACAGATTGTCAAGACAAAAGAACGGTTGCTGATCAACAAGTCCTCCTTCTTGGCGGGCTTGTTCCAAATGGAGTGGATAACATCCTGGAAATCCAAAGGCCCTCTTGGGATGGTGGTTGGCCGTGAGGACTCCGGGATCAAAAAATGAGAGGGGTCAAAGGAAAGTAGTATGGATATGTATGGATCAATTCAAAACGGAAGGGCTAAACCATACCTGCCAGTAGTAGTCGCCGTCGTCGAAGTCCACTGGTCCTGTGGTGGCTGGTCCGTGGTCCTGGCCCTCCGGTGCTCTGGCCCGCTGGTCCGTGATGCTCCGGTCCTCAGGTCCTGTGGTCCTCGTATCGAAGCCTTGTAAGCTTGCTCTATAATCATACAGAAGATCATGCCGTAAAGAGGACTTGCGTTAAGCAAACATACGAATCCTTTCCGAGCTCGACATGCAAGCATTGTGTTTGCAAACGGGGCTGCCCCGCTTCATGAACTTCGAAATCTTGCGGGTTATAAAACGAAGATCAGGCCAAAAAGAGGATTTGCATTAACAAAGCATGCGAATCCTTCACAAACCTCATGCGAGCATTGTGTATGTAAACGGGGGGGGCCGACCGAATATCCGAGCTTGCTGAAGGACATGCTTGCTTACGGCCCAGGATTGGGAATGAATGATAATAAATGGCAATTCCGAGACGCTTGACTGGCGTCACCGGCATGACAGG